TAAATCATTTGATAGATTCAGTGATACTTTTTACAGCAGTGGATAGAGCCCAGAGACTCAGTATGTGCTTCTCATTCCTTTATTTCCATGTTATCCCTGTCAATATATATTTTCATGCAGATATTGACTATATAATTTATTAATACTTCTAGATTTTTTAATGGTGTAGGAGTTTCTGGCATGCTGTGCCTTTGAGYCCATAATTTGTGTTAATCTGATTTTTGTCAGCAGTCCACATCCAGCCTTTGGAAACAGCCAGGCTTTCTGGCAAAGAGTTTGCACCAGGCCCTGCTGTCAGCTTAAGCTTTTTCACCATTTGAACCATCCCCACTGTGCTGTTTTCCACGTTCTGGTTTCCTAACAATTAACCTGTGGGTTTCAGTTTGCCAGGGGTAACTAAACCRGCTCCATTTGTTTTATGATGACTCGTGCCAGAATTGTTTCACGATGAAAACATGTCATCCACAGTCCAATTAAAATCATCCCTGTGGGGATACAGATTTAAAAGTGCCATGTAAATGAAATGGGCGTCTGACAGCTGAAAGTTGTGCTGCCGGTGACCTTGTTAGGGCGCCGCTTTGCTGATTCAGTTCTAAGCTGATGTTAATATTCAAGCAACAAGACTGAGTGCTACGGACTTCAGCAGAGAGAATAATTTTAATTCATAACGCATAGCTGTGATTTTTGGTCTCCRGGACTTTTTTTTCACCCCTCCTCTTTCATTCTGGAGAAGCTATTCCAGTTTACTTGCAGCACAGCRGAGCAGATTTCACTGGGTTGGGCTGAAAGAATATTGAGTGCCTCCAGGCTGACTCTCTGCAGAAGAAAACTTCTTCATCTCTGTCCTCCTGAGAGCTGTATTTAGAGAGCCTGAGCTTTTAATGAATGATTAGTTTCTCATATGCATAATCAGAGTTACTCCAACAGTAACAGAGATGCTGCTGGGAGCCTTCTCCTCACCCTAGCAGAGCTGCTGCGTCTGAAACACGGCACAAACTGCTGMGATGTAAAGAGCAAAACCAACTGAAGACGTGGCAGAGTAGGAGGGTGAGAATGACAAGAAGCTGAGAAGATTGTGGTGAGGGATGGTAAAGGATGGAAGTTGTTTAGGGGTGTATGGGAGTGGGAAGGCCAGGAGCAGATCCTGGTGGAGGCAGAATCCTCGTGTTGAAAGCTGTGCTTATGGGCAGTGACATGGACTGGGAATCATGTCCTCTTGAGTCCCTGCAGCTGTCCAGCGATGCCCAAGCCTCACCTGGTGTTTTGGTTTCAGAAAGGATTTGAGTTTGGCACATGGAGCACCATGGCAGTCGAGTGTCTGAGTTGCCATCGTGGTTATTTGGCAATTCAGAGGTTGGATTTGGGGAGAGATTTGGCCAACCCCCAGGAAGATGCCTTTACTCATTGAGTGTTTCTTCAGGCTGCACTGACTTTAGTGATTACACCTGGAGAAGCACACAGCTGCCTGACAAGCAGGCACCTGAGCTAAACACCCTCTCACCTTTAAAACTGAGGACATACTTAGCAAATAGTGGAAGAGCCAGAAACAGAGCCTCTGTTCCCACATTCCTGGGTCAGCCCTATTCCTGAGCAAGGCTGAGTCATAATCCAGCAGGACTCAGGACCGAGAAGCTGTGAAGACAGAATAGAACAAAAGGAGGAATCAGGTTCTGGGGTCATGGGATGTTCTGGAGAAAACACAAGAATACAATAGGGGGGGTATTTATGGTCTTGATCATTGCTGTTCTGCATTTACCATTGGGCTTGGCTGTAATTTAACCTTTTTGCCTCAGTTTCAGAGGAGATGGTGCCAAGTAAAAAATAGACCAGAGGAATTATCAACTTCCGATGATGGACTTCTSTCATGTTTTTACTAATGGAAATATTAGGAATTTTTATCAATAAGACTGTGTTGAATATTTTTCACTGCCTCCAGTTSTCTTACCTTCATCCATCTTCCTGACAGCACAAAAATTTGTGAATTCATGTTTTGYTTTGGCTCTTGAGCTGTTGAACTAAACCTTGTTTCAGTAACTTTGGATGGCATGTTTATTGAGCGTCATATGATTAACCTGAAATCTCAATACACAAACACATATCAAGGTCAATTTGCCTAATAAAGGAAAGGGATTTCCTTATTGAAGGAAATTCCTTTGGATTYTCATAGAACTGGCGAGCTTGATAATTTCACTGACTACAAGTGTGTGACCCCTCCCTCTCCTCTTTCACTGTTGAAGTTTATAATTAATTTTTGTCTCATTAATTATTTTCATAGGAGTGTTGTTATTGCTGGCTACTAACTCCTTTTGGCTTGTTTCTGTTTTCTGCCCTTTCCTAAACCAGTTGTTCCTTACGAGATCACAGTGTACACCAGTGACATTTTTGGAGCTGGCACAGATGCAGATGTCTTCATTGTTCTTTATGGAAGTGATGGGATTTGCACTCAGCAAAAATCCCTGTGCCTCAACAAGAGAGAGCAAAGGATGTATTTTGAGAGGAATTCGGTGAATCAGTTCATCGTGGAGGTAAGAACGAGGCATGGGGAGCATTGGGGAGCATGGAATGGTCAGGAATAGATTCCCTCAGTCCTCTGTGTTCTTGTGCTGTGAAACCATTGGATTTATTTAATCAACACAAAGTGCTTTAATGCCTGAGGTGAGGTTGGAAAGATGTGGGAGGTCACAAAATGCAGTTCGCCTTTTACTGAATGAGTGAGGTCCTGTCAGCCCTGCCCTTCCTTCCTCCTCCCCTCCATTGGCTCCAAGGATGTTTCCAGGCCTGGGAGGGGACAGAGGTCATTCCCAAAATGACAGWGAGAGTGGAAATGTTGCCCAGGATGGGTCCCCACTGCTTTGCTCCTTTCTGTTCTCACCCACCCGAGTCACTCTGTGCTGGGGCAGCCTCACCTCGAGTGCTGAGGGTGCTGTGGGTGCCACAATATAAAAAAGACATTAAATGTTAGAGAGTGTCCAAGGGAGGGGCATGAGCATGGTGGAGGGTGTGGAAGGGAAGCTCTGTGAGGAGCAGCTGAGGGCACAGGGTCTGTTCATCTGGAGGAGACTGAGGAGGGAATTCATTGAGGTCTTCAACAKCCTCGAGAGGGGAAGAGGAGGGGCAGGTATTGATCTCTTCACTCTCAGGAACAGGCAGGACTTGAGGAGAGAGCATGAAACTGAATCAGAGGGTTAGGCTGGGTGTCAGGGAAAGGTTTTTCTGTCCCCAGAGGGTGCTGGCACTGCCCAGGCTCCCCAGGGAATGGTCCCAGAGCTCCAGGAGCGTTTGGACAGCGCTGCTAGGGATGGACAGGGGGGATTTTTGGGGTGTCAGGGACAGGAGCTGCACTGGATGATCCTGGTGGGTCCCCTCCAACTCGGGATATTCTGTGATTCTCCTGCAGTTTGCAATACTTAGAAGCATAATGCTCTTTCCTCTGTATGCTCAGACAGAGAAACCATTACTTTCCTGTAGACAATGTGGTTTTTGGACACCCGGGCCTAACTTTTTGAAAGATCTGACCGAGTATTTCCTGAAGTGTTTGCACAAGTATTTGTATGCAAAYAATACACCAGGGCACATCAAAGAGTGGGCTTATTTCCATCCACAGTATTAAGCAACTCCTATTAGTGTATTCTTACTGCTGAGAATTTGTGAGAGGCAAAAAATACAGGCAGACTTGCTCTGGCTTATCCTGTTGATGCTGCTTCATGCCCTTCCTTCCCTTCCTGGCTCCAACAACAACACTGACTTCACAAAGGATCTTACATCTTCTCTCTGTTTTTAATTTGGTTTGTTTTTGTAATTGAGGGGAAATTTCAAACCAATTTTTTTTATAAGTTAAAATACTTCCAGCCCACACTGTGGTGATATGTCATGAATCATAAAATAAATCCCCAGTGTGATTCCTTTAAAACAAAGAATAAGGCTTACTTTGGAGGAGTTTCCACACAATTTTTCATAATAGAGGTTGCATTAATCCACAGGTATAAATCTTAAACTGAGTGTTCTGGTTAAGTCTTTATTGCATAAGATTTATTTCAACTTTGGTGGAATCTGAAACATCAGTACTTTTCTTAGATTAAGTGAGAGAAAATRCAGTGTATTCTACAGATTTATAACATCATATTAACCTGCCCCCAAACTTCATTCTGACTTCACCTATTCCTTTTTCTGCAGGAGATGAGAATGAAGCAAAATATATAATTTTTTTTCACCTGTTTGTGTAGAGYCATACTTTGGAGTTCAGCAGACCTTAAAAACGATTTGGGGGWTCCGGGAAACACAAACTGGGAGTTGTCTGTTTGTGGTTTTACCTGCCTCTATCATTTYGCATTTTGCAAAAGAGGCACAAAAGATTGGAGCTTGCTCTTAGCTGTGCTTCCAAGTGATGATTTGCTGGAGATGCCTACAGCAGGGTARAGCCCACTTCTTCTTTAACACGGATCTTGACTGCTCAAGCATCGTTTTATTRCTCTGTATTGATTAAAAGTCTCATTGAAAGATGAGTATTTGRACAGGACAAAAGAGGAAAAGTAATTTTTCCCCAATGTATACTCGTGTGCATGTGTGTGAGTTTTAGGAATGAGCTCGGCCCGTTTAATTATTTTGCAGTGAATCTTTYGCTGTCTGAAGCCAGGGCAGGGCTGATGGAGTCAAACCCATTTTGCTCAGAGYGTGAATTCCTTGTGTAGTGCAGCCTCACTGACCTCTGGATCCTCCTGAAATCCCTGCTGTCTTTGCTTTGTGAGGGGCACTCCTGTCAGATGGGGAGAGACAGGACTGGTCTCTGGTGATATGTTCCATTTTCTCCTGTTTTCCAAGAAAATAAGACTCTAAGGACAGGAGGACAACTCAGTGTTCTGCACCCAGAAGTTTGAAGCAGCCATGGGTTTTTGAGGGTCAGCCATACAAAAGTTTGTTCTGCAATAACCAAAAGCTGGTATTTAGGGGAAAATTTCAATTTTCCTGTCCAAGCCTCTGAAAGGGAAGTGAATTAAAMGTAATGAACTAGCAACAAATTACTCAAATAACAAAGTGAGGCATTAAAAACCCAGTAGCAATTTCATAAGATGGTGGCCTAAGGTGATTTTATAACAGTGTATTCCTCTGTCTGCTTTATGCCCAGAGATGGGCCTGTGGCACCCTCCTGTTGACTTTCTCCAAATCTTTCTCTGTGGCAGAACAGGAGAGATAACATAAAACTGCCATGCTTTTTGGACAGTGCTTTGGCCTCAAAGCTGTTCTTCCAGTRTTAAGAGAGTGCACACAAGTGTTTAAAAAGGAAAGGGATATAAAAAGATCAATTTAAGATGCAGCTGCCTTACAATTTCATGGAATCACAGRACCAATTAGGTTGGAAAATACTTCTGAAGTCATCGAGTCCAGCCTGTGCCCCATCCCCACCTTGTCACCAGACAGAGCACTGAGTGCCACGTCCACTCACTCCTTGGACACCTCCAGGGACAGTGACTGCACCATCTATCTGGGCAGCCCATTTCAATGTCTAATCATCCTTTCTGTGAAGAATTCCATCCTAATGTACAAACTAAACCTCCTGTGGGGCAGCTTTAGACTCTGCCCTCTCCTCCTGTCCCTGTTCCCTGGAGCAGAGCCCGACCCCCCCGGCTGCCCCCTCCTGTCAGGGAGTTGTGCAGAGCCACMAGGTCCCCCCGGAGCCTCCTTTGCTCCAGGCTGAGCCCCTTTCCCAGCTCCCTCAGCCGCTCCTGGGGCTCCAGACCCTTCCCCAGCTCCGTTCCCWKCCCTGGACACGCTCCAGCCCCTCAATGTCCCTCTTGAACTGAGGGATCCAGAACTGGACACAGCACTCCATGTGTTGCCTCACCAGTGCTGAGTACAGGAGAAATTTCCAAACAATTGCCGTCATTCCTGTTCATGCAGAGAAGTGTAAGATGCAGGATTACTTCTGTACAACCAGACCTRTCTCATATGGTGGGCAATTTGTGCAGAGCAATGTTCTATCCATTTTGGCATACAGGGAAAACTTACAGTTATAATGTAAATTAGGGTCTAACTCCAGAGGAGGCCACGGAGATGCTGCCAGGGCTGGAGCCCCTCTGCTCTGGAGCCAGGCTGGGRGAGCTGGGGGTGCTCACCTGGACAAGAGAAGGCTCCAGGGAGAGCTCAGAGCCCCTTTTGGGGCCTAAAKGGRCTCCAGGAGAGCTGCACAGGGACTGGGGACAAGGGCTGCAGGGACAGGACACAGGGAATGGCTTGGCAGTGCCAGAGGGCAGGGATGGATGGGATATTGGGAAGGAATTGCTGKCTGGGAGGGTGGGGAGGCCCTGGCACAGGGTGCCCAGAGCAGCTGTGGCTGCCCCTGGATCCCTGGCAGTGTCCAAAGCCAGGCTGGACGAGGCTTGTAGCCCCACTGGAATAGTGGAAGGTATCCCTGCCCATGGCAGGGGGTGAAACTGGACCATCTTTCTGGCCCCTTTGACCCAAAACCATTCTAGGATTTTATTTTATTATTCCACCATTGACATCATCACTAATATTTTCTCCCCTGGGAATTCAAACAGCAAACCTGGAAAAATAAGAAATAAGCTAAAGAAGTGGTGTCTCAAAAGTCACCAGTTGTTCATGCCATATTTCCCTTTTTTAATTTTTTTTTTTTGTTTTCTGTTGGTTTGCTTTGGTTTGGTTTGGTTTTGTTTCGTTTGGTTTCGTTTGGTTTCATTTGGCTTGGTTTGGGGGTAATTCGGGGTTGTTTTTTTCTGCCTGTTTGTTTGTTTTTCGGCAGCTGGAGGATGTTGGTGACATTATCGAGAAGATTCGCATAGGGCACAACRGTGCCGGGGTGAACTCGGGGTGGCACTTGAACCGTGTGAAGATTCGGAGGCTGCTACCAAACGGGAAGGTAGGCTGTGAATCCCAGCACGTCCCCACGAGCAGCCACTTCCACTTCCCAGACTGCATTTTCTGGACACAAAATGTGATCAGCTGTGAAAAACAGCTCCCCAAAGAGCAGCACTCGCTCAGTGAGCTCGCTGGAGCCTGGGGATCTGGGGACAGCAAACATGTGTTGTCATGTTTTGTTCTTCAAAGTGTTGATGATGAGGCTCTGCAATCATTGCTGTTTAAAACATCGTGTAGTTGTGTTTTGAGGGACCTCAGGGAAGGAAGTGGAAAGTGGGTGTACCATTTTAAAATAGAAATTATCGTTGCTAAACACAGACAATAAACAATTTCATCAGCCCCCTAATTCTGGAAAAATAAATGCAAGTACAATTAAGTACAAATGCAGTACAATTAAGACTAGAAAAATGCCTGTCAGTGCAAGACCCTGAATGATTTTTAAAAAATCAAGTTAAATGGAAGGATTTTTTGCTGCTCATGTGATGAGGGTTAAGGCAGTACAGTCAGAATGGTCACCTTGACCTTGTACACATAAGAAATGGTTCCCCAACCCTGCTTTGAGATGCTGGATRTAGGAACAAGGATGAATCTGGCTGTGGGAAAATCCAAAAGGAAATCACCCCATCAGGRCCAGTCCAGAGCTGGAGCAGCGGCTGTACTGGGGAAAACCTGAACTCTTTCCCCTTATTCCAAAGAGATGTCAGCTTTTATCTCCCCTCAGGTCTGCCCTCTCCTCAAGTGACTTCTAACACCAAGTTCTAAATCACAGCTTGCTCAGTCATGGTGAACCTGCTCCTCATCTTGCTTCTTCCTTCTCAATTTACAGGATATGTTTTATTCTCTTTGCTACACAATCAGCACACAGGTCTTCCTTCCTTCCTTATCACAGAATCATGGAATTRTTTAGGTTGAAAARGARCTCCAAGACCATGGAGTCCARCCATTCCCCCAGCACTGCCCAGGCCACCACTGACCCCTGTCCCCAAGAGCCACATCCACACGGCTTTTAAATGCTTGCAAGGATGGGGACTCCAACACTGTCTTGAGCAGCTGTGCCGGGTTTGGACAACCCTATTCATGAGGAAATTGTTCCCAATATCCGATCTGAATCTTCCCTGGTACACCTTGAAGCCGTTCCCTCTCCTCCTGTCCCTGTTCCCTGGAGCAGAGCCCGACCCCCCCGGCTGTCCCCTCCTGTCAGGGAGTTGTGCAGAGCCACAAGATCCCCCCTGCTCTCCCTTTTCCATCCTCCTGAACAGGCTTCTTCTCAAACCAATCCCCTCAGTCTGTTCCTCATGATCACCTTTTTGCCAGTGTGACATTATCGGACCCTCAGTGCATTACCTAACCCTCACCTCGTACAGCTTCGTTAGGTTAATTAATAGATTTACATTGTTTTCTGAGGTACTGTGATGAGCCACAGGCTGGGGAAGATGAAGAGGGGGATGCCCAAAGGTGTGGAAACCAAGGGAGAAGAGATTCCTGGGTTGCCTCTTTCCACTGGCCTTAAACTGAGCACTTTGGGAACTGCCTGTGAGCTCCATCCTCTTGCCCAGAGAGGGTCTCGGGGCTGCACCCCCTCCTCAGTCACTGCAGCAGCTCTGAAGGGCAGCTGRTGAGGAACCTGAAGGTGGAGGAAGGGAGGAAAGCCCTGAACAACTTGGGAATGGAGAGATTTACAATTCTGCTGATCTTTTGATTATGGCATAGGAAAAAAAAAAAGAAGAAAGCGGAGCACTGCATGATGCCGCTGATCAGCCGCAGGATATTATGACCTGCCACAGGATAGCAATATGCTGCCAGCGCTTCTAAAAGCTGTGCTACCTGATTAGACTGCTAAGATGTGTCTAGATGTATCTGTAGTGCTGCAAAAGAAAAATGAGGTCAGTAACTTTTCAGATTAAATTGAAAGCACTTGGGTAGGAAACCAGGGCTGTTGCACACTGAAAAAACTGTCTTGGCRCACCAATTATAGTTGATAATTATATTTCATTTGTTGCAACTTGGAGAAGGGAAAAGCACTGACTTTCAGCACACTATCATACTAGCTTAGGGTCAGACTCAGACTCTAACAAAACACATTCTCTTCAGGGCTGCAAGAAGATTTTTCTGCGGGTAACATAAACCAGCGCACTTTACGCCACTTAAATATTAATAAAACCACTAACGGGGAAACCCCAATAAAAAAAAAAAAAAAAAAAAAAAAAAAAAAAAAAAAAAGACGGTGGCAATGGCACGGCGATTATCAATAATGGCACAATTAACTCGTGCACATCATGCCCCACTGAGCAGTCCCCAGACTCTCTGTTACCAGATAAACACTGCTCGCATCACAGCCGGCAGAGCGAGTGCTCGGCGAGAGATGTGCCTGAAGTGGGATCTCTATCAGGAGGAGAGAGTTTCATCCCCGAAGCACCGCTCTGGAAAGCCCTCTCCTGCCAGCCTGAGGTGTGCAGATAAGCGCTGTGGGTCGGCTCGGTGCGCACAGAGATAGCGCAGGTTAAGCGGTCACTGCACGATTGAGGAGCCGGGAGCTGTGCCCGCTTATTCGGTGCTGTGTGCTGCTTCTGGAGCACAAATAACACTCGAAAGGAAAAAGATTGTGGAATCACCTGAAGTGCTGGCGGTTTCCTTTGACACCGTTTTGCGTGCCGCGCCTCAAAGCTCCTCGTGGAGTTAAACATCTCTGTCTGGGGTTAAACAGCGGCGCTGCTGGAGCAGCGGAGAGGGGGAGAAGTGGTGTTTTATTAACAGCAGCAAAACTGGGCCGTGTGTACTCAAATGYGATTGTGCTGCGGGCTCAAAGCAGTCACACCAGCGCCTGGGAGGGGTTCTSCTCCCGCAGACCAGCTCTGGGCTTTTTGTGGGGTGACTCCTGTCCATCCCACGTTCGCTGTGATCGGGGTGCACACCTGCTCCTGGGGTCCCAGTGATGGGACAGGATCTGCAGCTCCAGGCACTACAACGCCATGGAACACAGGGACAGCACAGTTAAACATTGCTACAGTGAGATCTATTCATTTCCCTTGCCATATATTAAGATTTTAGTATTGAAATAGTGGGTGTAGTCAAGAAAGAACCCTGTATTGGCTTGATAAATAATCATGACAGAGTAATTAAGGTGGAAATTATTCATAAAGGGTGTCTACAAGAGAGCTGGACAGGGACTGGGGACAAGGGCTGTAGGGACAGGACACAGGGAATGGCTTGGCAGTGCCAGAGGGCAGGGATGGATGGGATATTGGGAAGGAATTGCTRKCTGGGAGGGTGGGGAGGCCCTGGCACAGGGTGCCCAGAGCAGCTGTGGCTGCTCCTGGATCCCTGGCAGTGTCCAAAGCCAGGCTGGACATTGGGGCTGGGAGCAGCCTGGGACAGTGGAAGGGGTCCCTGACCATGGCAGGGGTGGAATAAATGAGCTCTAAGGTCCCTTTCAATCCAAACCACTCTGAGGTTCTGTTAGCACCCATTGATATGTCCTCTATAAAAGTAGTGGCAGAGTGCTCTGGAAAGAGCAGGAAGCCCCTGTGCTGTGTGAGAGATAAATGATGAGCATGTCAGTAAAGAAAGGGCCAATTTTTTTTTCTGTATTTATTTACTGTGAGATTAAAACTAACTACTTTTTTTTTTTTATTATTTTCTCCTTCTGTTCAGACTTGTGGCCTCTGTATCTTGCATGATGGCTCATGCCCCATCTCTTTATGGAGTCATAGCCTGGGGTGCYCAGCACTCAGAAAGCCTCCTGCATCTTACCATCTTGGAGGCCTTATGGGAGTCTGCTCTTAATGAGTAGTCTGGGATTAATTTTGTTTACCAAGTGGAAAACACATGTTCTATTGTTTTTGTCTGTTTGATGATATAAATCATATTTGTTTCTMCCAAAGTGAAGTCAAAACAAAAGATCAAAAATTGAATCAGTRTTTTTCTCCTCTTATTGCATGTATGGGACTTGCCTGGAACCCAGCTTGAGTCACAGAATTATAGGGCGAAATCATGAAGTATTGAGCTCAGAAAAAGAAAAAAAAAATAAAAGCCCCACTGACTTCAAAGAAAATGCTGCTTAAATAAGGGCTGAAGAGGAATTGCAGACACTCAGCAAAGCAGGAAGGGTGCAGTCCTGATTARGAATTTACAAGCTTTAATACTGGGAAGGGCAGAGATCTACCAGATCATACAACCACTCTCACACACCCACTGGGAATCCTGTTTTCTGCTGCCTGTTCAGTGCTGCTTCTGAGAGTCCTCAGATGTCCTCTTTCTGGAGGAAATACATTTCCATGTRCTATTTTAGGTCTGCCTCAACATGCAGATGCACACATACATGCGTTGAGAATCTTTGCCGCATGTCAGGGTGTTTTCAAAGGGAAAATGCTCACRTGTGTCCCTGTTGTTCTGAAGAGATTGTCTCTGTCATATTTACTCCAGGGCTCRGAAACTGTTACATTTCCATGTGATAGATGGCTTGCAAAGTCTGAGGACGATGGTGAGACTCTCAGAGAACTGGTGCCATCCGACGTTTTTACCGAAAAGCTCTTGAAGGATGGGACACTCAAGCAGATAGCAGAAGAAGTTGAAGACCCTTTAGAAGGTAAAATAATCCTAGGGGTAGGTGGGGATGGTKTGCCTGATTTTTTGGAATGAAACATTTGGATGTGTGGTTCAGTGCAATGATGGTGTAACTGTTCACTTTTCTTTCCTGTTCTCTGGCCTCTCTTKCTCCTGGAGCATTTCTGTGCAATAACATCATTATTTTCCTGTGGGTCTTTCACAGACACCCTTCCATACTCATTGTTTGCATATCTCCTCTGATGGCTGACAAAATTCTCACATCTTGTCTTGCAGGTTGTGTTAACACCCTCCCTCAGTTGCTCATCTTCCCCTCCTGTGCGCTCTGCCCCTTCCTTTCCTATCCTATGAGTCTAATTAACACTCCTCTTTCCTCCCACAGTTGTTTTGCCCAGCTGCCCTTCAGGTCCAAATGCATAACCTTTAGGTCTGAGTCATTACAGCCACCTTCACCTCATTAAAGTGCCTCTCAAGAGGAGAAAGGATTCTTATTCAGTTCTGAGCCCGTCCTATRAAGTGGTGACTTTGTGTSTTTGGTCTTACTGGAAGCTKCAGCAAGTGAACAAGAACTGAAATYTCATCCCTAGATCATCRCTTCTTTGTATGCCCAGCTATCTGTACCTCTTTTTCCTCTAGAAAAGAATCCCCTTTTTGCACCCAGAGCTCATTATGTCCTTGAGAGTGGTCATGAACTTCCTCATCCTGAGCAGAGCAAAACTAATTCAGCTGCCATTTTCATTCTCGACTCTTGCATCTGGTAACAAGATGATTCCACATAGAAAATAAGAGTTTTCTYTCTGTTTCTTTTCCTTCAGAGTCTGATTTGCACTTTTATGGTAGAACATTGTCAGGGTGGAATTAATAGGGATTGTCTTCCATCGCCAAGGGAAGTGGTGCCTTGCTGGAATGAAGATTACTGTCCTCCTTCCTCCTGTTAGGAGTTACATGGTAGCTCACGGGAAATTTCCTGCAGAGACAAAGATAATTTTAATATCAATTACAAAGTGGTAAAACACTGGTAAGGGCTGCCCAGAGAGGCCGTGGATGCCTCATTCCTGGAAACTTTGAAGCTGAGGTTGGGGTGGACTCTGACAAACCTGGTGTGGGGAAGGTGCCGCTGACCATGGCAAGAGGGCTGGACGAGGTGGCCTTTAAAGGTCTCTTCCAACACAAACAAATTGATGATTCAATGGTTCTATGACTTCTAGATGCCTGCATGACATTTTCCTTAGCTTGTTAATTTCTGTCGCTTTACCTTGGGTCAGTAACCATTTGTTAATTAACCTGGGTGACTCACTTTTTCTCTCAAAATCAAAGCCTTACAACAAGTTTTACAATCTACGGAGTCRAACTTTAAGATAACTGAAGATTTCCTCTGTCCTGGAGCTGGGGCTCAGTTTGGGAACTTCTTTAGATATAAAATATGTGGGATAAGAATTACGTCTTCTTCATGTCTGTGGATTCTCATAGGTCTTGGGCAGTGACACAGAGTAAATGACAGTGATGGARAATCAGCTCATGGTATCCTGAGGATCATCTTTTTTTTTTTTTAAAAGGTCGCATTTGAGGTCTCCAGAACCAGCTAGCAAAGGCCAGAGAGGGATGCACTAACTAATTAGACAATATTATTTGCTTYCTTCATTATTAATGTAGCAGTTGCCTCTCAAATATAGAGTATTAACTCTGTAGGACATATGTGAAGAGGCAAACCAGAAAATCCAGCACTGCACCTAGTCTGGTGATGACTCTGATCCATGTCTCAGAGAAATCAATGGAGATCATTCATGGATGACAAAGCAGAATAGGGTCTGTTTTACCGWGAAAGAAGAAAAAGACAACATGGCAATTTTCTTCAACGCTGTTAACGTACAYGGAATCCTAACTAAGACTTTGTGCCTCTTGCTCATTTGCATTGCCCTGGGATTTGCAGGGAGGCATTCTCCATGGCTCATATGCCACCAGGGTAATCAGGGACTTGTACAGTCCCTCACTGTTTTCCTGGAGAGGATGCTCTCAGTAACTGTTTTCCCCATATAATTGGGAGAAAAGTAGCAAAATAAAAAGAAGAGTATTTAACAGGTTTAGTAAAGCACATTACTAAAGGCTTGATGAGGTTTTATTGTCTCGTCACTGAGCWAGCTGAAGAGAAAGGGTACTTAAACAGCACAGCTCCAACACTTCCTTAATTAAATACTCTCTCAGCAAAAGGACCAGGAAACCTGTTCTCTGTCTGTTTGGGGAATTTATAGAGATACATGCCATTAACTCCTGTAGTAATTGCACATCTGAATTCCCAGTCTTTGTTCATGGAAGATGGAGTATTAAGGATTCACAGCACTGAATGACTTGTTCTCAGATTTGTGTGGAAATGTGCCGAGCTCCCCCACCTCTATTGACTTCCCACCCAGGAACGACCATGATGATTGTTTGCATTTTTGACCGTGAGCTGTGCTATCAAAGAAACACACAAGCATTGATTAGATGGAGAAAAGGAAAGTCAGAAAATGTCAGCTCAGGGATTCTCCACTCTTTGGATCAGAAACCTGAAAGGAAAAACCATGTGGGATTTAAAAACTCTATGAGCAATGAGCAGAAAACCTGGGGGGCATTTTCTTAGGTAAATTCAGTATCTAATATGGATCTTAATATTTCATCTGACCAGAAATCATCTCTGTTTCTTTCTGCAGTTCACACGTACAAGATCAGCGTGTTCACTGGGGATATCTATGGTGCTGGGACAGATGCCAATGTTTTCCTAAATATCTACGGAGATCAGGGGGATATGGGAGAGAGAAAACTCAGTAAATCYGAAACAAACTTCAACAAGTTTGAAAGAGGACAGGTAAAAGCGCCAAGGGTTAATGACGCATTCCATTTCTCAGTCTTTAACCTCTCCAGTCAATGACTGTCCTTACAGGCTGAGTTTCCCTATGAGGRATGAATTGATTGATTCAGTTTACCACATTCATTACCTCTTAAAATGCTTTGTATGGATTGTCAGCTGGGTATTACCACTGATGGACGCTGCAGCAAACAGGCAGATGTTCCTGTGCTGTCACTGATGGACAAATTATGAGCTTGGTCCATGTAAACTGGCTCGAGCTGAGGGCTGCAGATTCCCCCAGATTCCCTGTGCAACTGATTTGCATGAGCACAGTATCTGCTGGAATTCACCTCAAAACCTGGTAYATTGATGGGACTTAAAATACGGTATTTGAGAGAATAGCCCCAAAAGTGATGCCCTGTGGTCATCCYATGAGTCATTTGGGTGTAATGGTGGCAAGGCTGGTCTTATGTGGATTGTTCATGCAAATCTAACTTAGATTAGAAAAGGAGTTGTACTTAAACTAAAGGAATTGTGCTTAAACTAAGTATTTCAATATTCTAATTGGTTGTAAAAGTGGTGGGTTTTGCACCTCCCTTCCTAGCAAAGCAGGCTTTAAATCACTTCCCTCAAGAACAGTTTTAGCTTACAGATAGGCCTCTRTAGACTTCTGCAAAGCTTTTAGCCAAACACCACCCTGCAATGTGGAATTTAAACATATGTGCTCCGCAGTCTCCCGTTTTTGCTTTTTTCCCCAGCAGATTATTTGTTGAGTTTGTTAACAGAATCAACCGCCCTTGAACACCCCTGCAGGAGGACCTGTTCACCATACAGGCTGTGGACCTTGGCATTTTGTACAAGATCAAGATTCGTCACGACAACAGCATGATCAGTCCTGACTGGTTCCTGGACAAGGTGGAGATCCTGGATGAGACCACAGATGAGTCGTTTGTTTTCCTGTGTGAGCGCTGGCTCTCTAAGAAGAAAGAGGACAAAAAGATAGAGCGCACACTCTATGAGCAGGTACGGTTATGGCTCAAAGCAGATTCCATGCTACTCATAAAAGTAAAATTATTAAAAGCTGGTTGAAGTCCAAGGCAGCTCATTAGGGACTCAGAGGGCTTTTGGCTTATCCAAAATGAATTTCTGATTTTCAGACGAGAGCTGAAAGTAAGGCCACTCTCAGCCCATTATCATTAGCTCTGTAATTTGCAATTTCAACTGAAAAATCGAGGAGTGTAAGTGGAACTCTTCAGATGAGAGTTCACTACCTTGCTGATACACAGCAGAGTACGTTTCCCTGCTGCTGCCCTTGCTGTGCCCACAAAGCAGCTCAGTAATGGGTCCTGCTAGTCAAAGTCCTCAACAGAATATTGGGTGCTTTGACTCCATCTTCACTTGCACTGATGGCTTTTTCTTTTCAGATCCCTCTTCCACCACTGCCAGACACAAAAACCCAGCTCTCTTTGCTACCACTCAAAGTACCAAATGTTTTTTAGTGAAATGTCCTTTCTACTTGCACACTCTCTACTGCTTATCRGCCCAGTGTAGCTAATTGGAATTCGAGGTACATGCTCTAATTAAAATTAGCAAACAAGATTAATAGACTGCTCTTACTTCCATACAGGGAGACATAATAAAGCAGCTGATTGTAAGTTCATTTTATTTAAGGAGTCCACTTTGCAGAGCACAGTGACATTTTAATTGACAGTTACCACAAAAATGATCACAATCATCCTGGATTCAGCAGGGTGGGTGTACGAGGAGTTGCACCACGGATGTGCTGCTTCACAAAACTGCAGCACACAGTGCTAAGAAGGCTTGTGGAAACTCTTGCCCTGTTGCTTATATCAATTCATAACAAGAGAAAACTAATCACTCCTAATTTTTCTTAATTATTTGGCTGTGTGGTAAGGGCCTCACGTTCATTAGACAGTGACACCAAATGCWTTGTCAGTAACTCTTCAAACACAATTGGTGTTTCACCTCACTCAGCTTTGCAGTGCCTCTGCCTCTTAGGATTTTTGACCTCTACCTAATGAGCAGCCCTGAATGAAGAGCCTGGGGATGCTGGGGGTGAGAACAGAACCTGCCCCTGAACCCCCCGAGCCCTGGGCTGAGCCCCAGCGTGGGCAGCAGGGGAGGGGGGGATTGTSCCCCTCTGCCCCGCTCAGGTGAGACCCCACCTGCAGAGCTGCCCCAGCCCTGGGCAACAACAGCACAGGGACCTGGAGCTGCTGCAGCCAGGCCAGAGGAGGCACCAGGAGATGATCAGAGAGATGGAGCAGCTCTGCTGGGATTGTTCAGCCTGCAAAAGAGGCAGCTTTGGGGTGACCTCATTGTGACCTGAAAGGAGATGACAGGAAAAAAGAAAGGAGACTATTTACCAGAGCCTGGWGTGAGAGRACAAGAGGGAATGGGTTCAGATTGAAAGAGAGTAGGTTTAGATTTGATAKTARGAAAAAAATTCTTCYCTGTGAGGGTGGTGAAATACKGAAAGAGATTACCCAGAGAAGCTGTGRCTGCCCCTGGATCCCTGGAAGTGTTCAAGCCCAAGCTGGACAGGACTTGGAGCAACCCGGGATAGCGGAAAGTGTCCCTGCCTCTGRGGTTTTGGAACAAGATKACCTTTAAGGTCCCTTCTATGATTCTATGAGTTCTGATACTGTTCCATTGATCTGAGTTTGCTACTGCTCAGGCCGGTAGAACAGAAAATATCACATCTCACAAGACTCCTAGGTCTATTATATTTTATTTTATTATAACACATCCAAAACAGCCTGTGAAGGTCACCAATGAAGTCAGTGGATGACCACCAGTACAATATGACCCACATTTATTTGAGCTATACTGATCAAAAGGGTACCTGGGGGACTGCAGGGCTTTCTGCTCATGCTGTTGATGAAGRAACATGGGAACAGCCCCATTTCTCTCCCAACCAGAGCTACGACGGCGAGCGCAACAGCCTGGATGCTGCCTCCCTCAGCGTGTCCAGCCAGGACAGCAACAGCGACCCCAACGAGCCCAGAAAGTCCAGCCTGGTCAAGGCAGCAGAGGAAGGCTCACGTGAGTGGTCATTCCTGCGTGTTTGTGTCCACATGAGTCTGTGTGCTCCTGGCTTTCAGTGCTTAAAAGGCTGCATTCTCCCTGCTGGAGAGCGAGGAGAGGTGGAGCAGCGAATTATTTCTCCTTTTTTTTTGTGCTGTGACTGCTTTGGGGAAGGCTGGCTCAGGGCTTGTGTTTCTGTGTTTGTTGCTTTTCCTGCAATTCCCCTGACCCCAACAGTGGAATAAGTCATGATGTTCACAGCAAATTCAGTGTTTCAGAACTCTTTCCTTGACTTAATCAAGATGGTATTTCAAGATTAAATATKATTTAATTTAAATTTAAATGTGATTTCTTTTAGAACCCTTCAGGTTTTTTCTTTGCCACACATGGCAGGCATCACAACAGCTGTCACGTGGTGGAAGGTGTCCCTGYYCAYGRCAGCAGGGTTGGAATGAGATGAACTTTAAGGTGCCTTCCAACCCATGCTTTTCCATGATTCTATGATCCTATGMKTTATATACCCTTTTTWWAACTACCWCTGTGTTCCAGGCCAACTAATTACCAGTTAAATTGAACCTACAGGTTTTTTATATCCTACATGGGGCCTTTTAGTTTTAGATTAAGATTTTAGATGTATGATTACCATGCTGTGCTGTATTGACTACCTGGGCAGCAGCTGCATCACAGTTACTGTGTGTCWGCCTGCCCCTAATCCACAGTGAGTGCAAAATGATAGAACTTACCTAAAACTTCCATGGCAAATTAAGTGTAAATGGTGTAATTTTCCTCAGGATTTTAAGATAACTATCCAGGAGGGCTCACACAGAGTGCAAGGGTGCTCACACGATAGTTTATACCTTCCCTGATGCCCAGCAGCTTGCTGTGGTGTGATACTGGGGTTGCACATCCCACACCTTTCATTTGGGAAGCACATGTAATGCTGAGCCCTTCCAAACCTGATCTGCAGCCCATGTGTCTTGGGGCAGCCCTTCTTTTGTAATCCCACATTGTGCTCAAATGAAAAAGAAGTGATTTCCATGTTCCTTCTGATATTACTTCTGTGCTGCGACAATGGATAACATCTGCCACTCTGGCATTCCGTGTAGTTTCACAAATAATGGGTAAAATACCATTATAAAATATTCTCTCCCACATGAGCCCCTCTCCAGCAGAGCTGGGACGGTTCCCATCGACCCCATTGTGCCAGGGTGGTCTTCCTTCTCCGAGTTCTGGAGCTGTCATCACCACCATCTGTGTTCATGGCCTCAYTGAGGGCACAGCTTCCTGCAGGAATGTCAGATGAGATGGACGGGGTGAGCCAGGCATCACCATCTGAGCGGGATTAAAGCCAGAAGGAAGAGGGAGCTGGCTGGGAAAGGGAGTGACTTTTGTCACCCAGCCCAGTCCTGACTCTGCCATGATCAAACTGGCAAATGCCTTTGAGGGGTGGGAAGTGGAGGAGGTGAGGATGGAGATCAGGGAAAGAAAGGCCTCTTGGCTGTGCAGGTCTGAGCTGGGAACCTTCCTCCATGCTGGAAGGAGTCCTGGAAATGGCATGGGTAGATCCTGAGGAAACCCACCCTGCTGAGAGCAGAACACACAACCTTAACCCTGTGCTGGCACTCAAGGACAAAGGGAGATGGGTGGCAGGACTGTGGTGTCCTTCTGTGTCCACTCACCCATGGTTTCCTGCCCTCCCATGTCTGAGAAAAGGGATCCATGAGTCCCAGATAAAGAGAGAGGGGATAAAAACTAATTCAATGATTCATTTTCCAGTTTTCAGAGAGAAGACAGCAAAGAATGTTTCCTGCCCTCTGATAGTAAGCTACTCTGTACCTCTGTATCCATTATTTGAAGTGGGAAATTATAGTTACTCATCGTTCTCATTTCTCTTCTATAGGTGTTTTAAGTACTTTGGCTTAAGGATCAGCCAGAAATTCTGGTAGTTCTCTGAACTTAGTCAGTCACAGGAGAACAGAACAAAMCCTGTATAAAAGAAAATGTCCCTGTTCAAAATACACTTAATTTAAAAGTGTGTCCTACACACGACCTCTTGATATATTCTTATGAAATCTGCCTTGACTACAGCTAAACCCTTCTTGCTGCTAAATTCATTGCGTGTCATTGTGCTGATGCACCCAGTAGAATGTAAATTATACCATAAATGGGAGAATAAATCTTGCCTAATCATCAGCTCATTTTGTGTTGGTACACAAAATCCTCAAATTGGGGCTGAATGAATCTTTTTCCGTTCTGCTCTGTCCAGAGGTAAGGACAGATTTGATAATCATGAACTCATGCCTTTCCTAATGTTGCACAGGTATTCTGAGTCTGATGTGAATTTCTAGCACAACCCCCACCTCAAAAATATTGTTAGTCATCATAAAGCCAAATTAGRTGTCAATCTTGGGTAAATTGAAAACCAGCCAAGTTTTTGGGTTTTTTTTTTGTCAATTTATAAACCCTTCTTTTTTTTTAAACCAGAAAAGTGATGATGAAGCCAGGCTGCTTCGAGTCTGTGACGAAGCAAGTTTCAGAGCTCTGAGTCTTGTCAGAACTGTTTGAACAGCCCTGCACAAATGTTCTGAGAAATCAAACGAGTATTCAGCGACTAATTCTGCACCGCCTGCTCGGCTTACCCAAAAGAGCTTTTGGAAAGCCCTTGAAAAGCAGTCTGGCACTTCCTCCCTTTTAACAGCTGAACTGAAATTTCTGAAAACCACAGAAAAACCACCTCCTCTTCTACCAAGCCTTGCCCTGAAGGCTTTTCCCCCAACCAAAATTATTATGCAACGCYTAGAATTATTGAGTGACTTACCTTTAATAAGAGGATTGTTCTGTTCTGTCTGGATTTGCACAGGGATGCTGAAACCCTGAGCTGCCCCATAGATCACAGCAATCCTTGAATGAGGCACAAAGGAGAGCATTTGTGGTTGTTCTGGGACATTCAGCCGGTGATGGCTTACCTTGGAGTCAGCTCAGATTTATTTGTCTTTATTGAACGGGGAGTGTAAGATCACTTTGGCCTAATAGGCTGTTTAAGATTTAGGTGCTCAGACTCATCTTYAGGAAGGTCTCTTGGTGTCAATAAGGATTCAAGCCTTTTGCTGTTCTGTCATCCATTAGGGAAGAAATCTGGACTTATAACCTCCTTGCAGCCAGTAGGGATGTCTGGGGAAATTAACCCTTGCAGAATTCAGTCCCAAGCGTGCCATGGGAAAGCAGTCTCCAGAGCACCCTTGTAGCCCAACAAAGCATGAAGTTATTACTTCTCCAAATGAATTCAATGGGATGTGAACCCATTTGGCGCTCCCAGCTGCTCCCTCTGATGGGATGAGCCCCTGGTTTTCTCAAGTCTCACACAAGTGCTTGGGTTTTGTGACGAGCAAACCTCTCTCTGCCACAGTGATCCCGTACCACATCACCGTCATGACGGGCACCGAGTACGACTCCAGCACCGACAGCCGCGTCTTCGTCATCATCATGGGCCCTCAGAACGTGCAGACCCAGAGGCTGTGGCTGGATCTCCCAGAAGGAAAGGACGAGTTYGCAGATGGCTCTGTGGAGAATTTCTCAGTTTGGGGCCTGGATGTTGGGGAGATCAAAAGAGTGGAGGTATGCTGTGAACACAGAGCGGGTGCTGGGGGCGTGTGGAGTACGTGGCCAAAGAAAGCACATGGTTCTGTTATTCTTAGCTGAGAAGGAAAGGCTCTTGGGTCTAAAATGTGTGTAAACAGGACTGTGCTGATGAGATTTCGCATGTGTCTGAACCTGTCAAGAAGCACGCTTTACTTCGCACAAAACCGGGATCATCCTGAGGCAGAGGGAAATTGTGAATTGTAAAGAAGTTATGACATGTCCCAGTTTTGTCCCATCCCTGGCACTCCTTTTCCTTTTCCTTTTCCTTTTCCTTTTCCTTTTCCTTTTCCTTTTCCTTTTCCTTTTCCTTTTCCTTTTCCTTTTCCTTTTCCTTTTCCTTTTCCTNCTTTTCCTTTTCCTTTTCCTTTTCCTTTTCCTTTTCCTTTTCCTTTTCCTTTTCCTTTTCCTCTTCCTCTTCCTCTTCCTCTTCCTCTTCCTCTTCCTTTTCCTTTTCCTTTCCCTTTCCCTTTTTTCTTTTTCCTATTTATTTTTTCTTTTCCTTTTCTTTTTCTTCTCTCCTATTGCCAGATGCCGGATACACTTGTTCATCGGTCTTTTTCCTGGCTGATTTCTTTCACTGCTTCCAATTGGGTTCCATAAATTGTGCAAAACACATCTTGTATAATTTCCTAGCTAAACATGGAAATTGTTTTCACAGCTTGGAGGACACAGGGTTAGAGAAGAAAATTAATCATAATTTGTAAGTAATGTGTGCAAATAGATTTCGGTACAGGAACCATTTTTTCTGCTATGGCTCAGGGAGACACAATTTGCATAGACTTTCCATCACTGGGCTTAAACTTCACATGAATATTCCAGAGTGTTTGTGTACATCATTCTTGTTTCATATGGCAGTTCCACCTCCTGAAATCTTGCTCCAGCCCCTCAAGTACTGAAACCCACAGCACTTGAGGATTCCAGCAGCCTGTTTAATTTTATTTCTACCCCATGCCCTCTGTGGAAGCAAACCTATCTGTCTATGTGTGTGCTGGTATAATTGGAAAGAGACAAGAGAGAGAGAAATCCTAACTAATAAAAAAACCTTTGCATCTGTACGTCCTGTTGTCATAGCTCAGGGACTGAGTCACTCGCACTACCTTTCACTCAAGCAATGAATTCTGACATTTTGAGAAATCTCTGTATCAGACTCGAGTTTATTATCAAGCCATTATCTTAATGCACTCCAAGTGCCTGGTTATTATGTGTATTAGTGGCACTTTCTATCTAGCCCATCTCGAGGTCAAATTTTGACAGTGAAGCAAGTGTACCAATCCTTCTCTTCTGGGCTGTGCACACATGGAAACAGCCATGGAGTGAGACAGAGAGGARGGAAAATGACAGGATCACCCCTCAGTGTCAGAGAAACAGGGAGAGCAGCGTGAAGAAAGAAATAGCAAGGGATGCTGGAAAAGGAACCGTGAGTAGGGTAGGGAATGGGTAGAAAATAGAAGAAAGTAGGAGAAGACACTTTGAAATAGGCGAAGGTGAGGCAAAAATTAATTTGWAAAGGAATACAAAGGGAAAAGAAGATAAAAAGCTGCAAATCAAATGTAGAGAGCAAGAAAAAGAAATAACATATATCTTTCAAGCTGGTGATGTTCTCCTGCTGCTCTTTCACCCCTGTACTCAGTGATCTCACCAKCCTGCTGCCTCACCTCTGGCTCCCTTCTCCCTTCTGGTTTGTAACTCCCCAGCTCACAGCTGAAGGAGCCACCTGCTCCTGGCCTTCTGCCTTCTCCACACAGTGCCCTCAGCCTGGGAGGTCCCTTCTTTTGGACCAGCRATGACATCGATGTGCTAGTCTGCCGCGGTTGCCATGGCATCAGTCCGCATTTTCCTTCTAGAAAATTGCAGTGTTTCGGGGACATTGCAGAAAATTGCTAGTTATCCACTTGGTGAAAAGTGAGGAACAGCTCGTTCTTGGATCTGGCATTTGTCTGTTTGTGTGGAAGGTGAAAAGTTCTGAACGTGTGAGAATAGCACGGTGTGAGGGTTAAGTTCCAGGAGCACCCTGTACACCCCGAGCAGCACACTGCAYCATTTAGCAGGGCTGCGTGATGCCACTTCTGGTTGGGTATTATGCTCCTGCTAGAAATACAGTCCACTGAAAGCAGAAATAGTGGAACACACAGTAATTTGAAAGGAGATCGTTTATTCCTGTCGTGCAWGCCTACAGATATAATATTTACTACTGCTCTACTTTAGCAGAYACGCCGATGTGAAAATAAATAGCAYAAGTTATTTGGTGTAGACACTTCATGCTAGTGTTTTTAAAACAAGCTTTAATATTTCTTCTCCTAATGAATGAAAGTGTTTCTGTTCCTGGACTGTCATTGCTGCAGAGAGACACAGGTATGTCTRGAGAGACCTGCATTGGTTTGCTTTTATAAACCTCTTCTGCTTCAAAACCTTTCTCCATCAAGAGCACAGAGAAAAATCAAGGACATGCAAATGTTGCAAGTCCACTTCTTCAGTAACTGRGGACCTGACCCTCAGGTCTCTCCATATTCTCTGGGCTTTCTTTACACAAAAATTCCCTCACCTTTTCCCTCTGCCATTGTGCTCAGTTTCTATGTGATGGTGAGCTGTTCAATATAAACTGTGCATCTCACTCTCAATGATGTGCAGTCCCTTGAGGACTGTAGGAACAAGTTACAAAGGTTTTCAAACCACCCAAAAATCTACCTGCCTTTAAAATTCTGTCATTCTAATTTAGTTCAAACATCTCAGCCCGAAACACTTCTTGTGATATTGATATGCACATCCAGGCTGTGCTGCTGGTGTGGCAGTGGATTGAGATTATTCACYGTGTTGGCATGGTCTGCCTAAACATTTGTCTGGATTTGAAAGTCAAATCCAAAACTCTGTTCCTAAAATCCAGCCATAAGGAAGACTTGGCTGACACTGATTGAATTTGTCCCAGAATTTACATTGTTCTTGAGGTCCTTGTAATTCTTATTGTGGATAGGTTCCCCAAGGCAGCTGGATGCACAGTTTGTTTCCTTCTGCCCTGTAGCTGATAGCAGAAAAGTTAAGGTTTGCTCTGAAAATGTGGTACCAAACAATGTCTTGGAATTATGCTTTGCCCAGGSAAGCTGTGGATATYCCAYCCCTGGARGTGTGCCAAAGCCAGGCTGGAGGGGGATTGAACCAACCTGGGATTGTTTTCAACCTAGAAATTAAACTCGAGATGATTTTAGTACAGGGGGTGATATAAAAGTGGGCATTTATTRGAGCTCCAGGRGCAGTCATKGAAGAATATYCACAAAAGCCCCACTCCACAGGGGTGAATACAGTTTGATTGATTTTAGGAAATTAGCACAATTGATAAAAAGCATCAATTAGGAGGACAAGTGGTGATGAAATTCCCCCCAGGTCAAGCCCTTTCTCTGGAGCCCCCCACCCTTGGTACCAGCTGTACTTGTTTATGAAAACGTGTTTTGAAGACTTTGGTTTCAACTTTGGTTTCCAGAAAGAACTAAGACAGGACAGAGACATTGTGCCCCCTGGGACTTGTAGCTCTGTAATGTGTGGGCTCTTCTAGATGTGGAAAAGGGTAGGGAAAAAAATGGGAAGGGCATAAATACATAAAAGGAAATAGGGAAAAATCACTCTGGCAATAGGACAGTGGAAGGTGCCCCTGCCAGTGGCAGGAGGGTTAAAATGAGATGGGTTTTAAAGTCCCTTCCAGACAAAACTCCTTCATATTCTATTATTTGGGCCGKTGGGGTTGTGCAATGAACCCAAAAGACCAGCAAATTTTGCTAGGCTCATTGGGATTTTCCCTCCAGCTGCTTTGTCCCTGCTTCACTGCAAAACCATGGCCCTGAATTTTCCCCACTGCCTCGTCCATTCCATCCYACAGCAGAGACTGCACCTCCAAGGGGCTTTGGGCTTGGAGGAGTTCAGCCAAGGTGGTGGAGAGGAATGGGAAGGCAAGTGTTACATTCCCATTCACCTCACACCCCAAGAACTGGAGGATTAATGCATCCATTGTAGACTTGAATTTCCCTGGTGGTTATCTCTAATTTTCTGCAGCTGCACAGACATTAGTACAGCAATAATACTCCTAATAGCAGTGATGGCTGAGACCATCAGACAGAAAAGATCACTTGTTTTTTGGGAAAAAATAAATACCACAGATACATCACCCTGGATGAATCTGTTATTAAAAATTGCTTTCTGAGCCTCCCTAAATATCCTAATAATTTAAAAGCAAAAAAAAACAGTTGTTTTTGAGAAAAAAGGATCTAATTTTCCTAACACTTTCTCTGAAAACAATGAAGTGCAGGTAGGTCTTTTATGGACAGGTAGTTCATAGGAATGACTGTCTGACCAAAGTTCATACATCAGCCTGGATACATAATTTTGCTTCCAAGTCTGCCCCAGGCTGAACTGCCCAACTTCTTGGAGAAATYTACACTGTCAGCATCAATTTGGTGCTGATACACCTGCAGGAACAATGACTTTTGCCAGATTCAGCTCCAGGTGGGCTCTGGCTTCCATAAACTCATTTTTGCACACTTGTGCAATGTCTCCATATTTCTCCAGGGYCTCTGCCCCTACTGCCATCTCTCCTATTCTTCCTTTTTCCACTTAAAATTTTTTTCAGGAACTCCTTTTTTCTTCATCCATGCAGGCTTGTGGCCATCCTTGTGTGGCTTCCTGGTCTCCAGGACTGATCATTCTTGAGCCTGGAGGAGGTGGTCCTTGAAAATCAACCAGCTACAGATGCAAGCTCCGTCTGTTGTCTCCTGTGCAGAGACAGAGCTTTTGCAGTCTGAGGAGATGGGAAGCAGAGGAACAGCCTCACACAGACAGTTCACTCATATGGGGATTTGTCAGGGAAGCGCTTGTAATAATACATGTGGGTGTTTGCTGAGCTGCATCTTTCCTCTTGGTTCAAAAAATCACTTCCAAGAGTGGTGACWGAAGAGGAAAGGCTTGTAAAGGTGGAGAAATGTGTCTGGTGCCAGCTGCAAATGAGCAGGTAGAGGTCAATGGGGCAGGAGCAGGAGTGCAAGGGACTGGACATGTTTTTGGTAGGTCAGTCCAGTCTACCTTGGTTTTTTTGAGACTGTCCTTCCCTCATGCACAGCACTTGCTGACCTGARCTCCCTTGCCTGTGGCAGTGGCACTGTTTCAGAGTTCCCCCCATTCCCCGTGGGAATGGTTTGTTGTGATGTTGTGGGTGCACTCTGAGTCCCTCACTGCGGGGTGGATCACCCTGGAGCAGAGAAATTCCCTTTCCCAGAAGGTGTGACTCCTCTGYGACTCTCGCAGGTGGGGCACGACGGCGCTACCCCCGAGAGCTGCTGGCTGATGGAAGGGCTCACCATCGTCGTGCCCACCAAAGGCGTCATGTACAACTTYGTCTGCAAGTGCTGGCTGGCCAGAGACATGGGGGACGGGCTCACCTCGCGAGTCCTCAACATCCTGGACGCAGAATGTGTCAACGTGGGGGTCAAGGTAGGCGCCGGGCTCACTCTGTGCCTGCAGCTGCTTCAGGGACCTCTGCTGACAGATTCCTGCAGGTGGCTTGAGCCTTCTCTTTGCTTTCCTTTCCTGTGTTATTTTATTGGCAAAATCCTTACGCATGGTTTAGGATCTGAATCAGTTTAGGGCACTGTTTAGAAARGCTGGCTGGAGAAGAAAGGGCAGGRCAGGTAGGACACACCTCATCTTGTCACCCATCGGTACCCATGGAGTGGGACAGCTTCAAGGTGAGGGGAGACTCCAAATTCATCAGATTAGAGCAGTGGAAATATCCTAATTATTTTAATCTCTCCATGCTGCAGCTACATACCACATTTTCTCATGGGGGATAGGGCAAGTAAAACTTACTGGAAGTTGTTGAAACATGAAAACATTTGTAAGACTGAKCTTTGGTGAGAATAACTGATTAAAGTTGAATCAGTGAGAGTAAAACTCTACAGTCTTTTCACTCATATACATGAATTTTGAAGTAATGTCTRCTGTGCCATATTTCAAACAAGTACAAATTGGAAAGCCGAGCTATGCCGATTCGGGATGTTACATTTATAGCAGAAATAACAGTCTGGATGAATGTGACAATAACACTGTGTTTAAATACCTGTGTGGTAATTTAAAATCTCTATAGATGTACTTGTATTTACAGTCAGGTTACACTTTCATAGTACATTATTTTTTCATTATGTTGCTCTCRATTCCCAAGCTAAAGATCTCCTGAAATCTTTCTTGTCCCCCAGACATGCAAAAACTTGATAACATTTTTTATGATTCGTGAAGGATTCACCAAATCAATGCAGATTTCAGTGGTGAATTGACCCAAAAGGGTACAAAAACCTGCCTCAGACTTAACACCAAGGTTAAAGCCAATCTCATAAAAATGTCCCATCTGTCATTTATCCTCCTGGATGAGGTTTCCAGACTCCTATCGGTGAGCTGATGGCTTGCCCATAGATTAAAGTGGATGTTAATGAAGACTTATGTTCAGTCTTCCTTTAAAAGCACAATCCTGAATATTTATTTTCATAGGCATGCCAAAAAAATGCACATCGAACTACAATTTTTTTCCTGTGATGCTGGGCCAGAAACTTGACTTGAGAGATTTGAAGGAAATCTGGGGAGATGCTTGGGATGTGAAATCAGAAATGAGCATTTGACGTTCTGATCAGCCTCSTAGTTGAGGGAATTTGGGACTGTTCCCTCGTAAATAGCTGTAGTTAGAAAGAGAGTCTTATAGGATTTTTAAGAGTTCAAAGACAACTGATAGGTTTAGCATCATTGGCAAGATTAATACTTTTTTTATTTGTCTTTTGCTTGGCTTTTGTACAGCTATGTGTACCCATTTAATTTTCTTCTTGGCTTGATATTCCCCCCTTTTGCTTTAAATTGAGTATTTGCCTTCTCATGCTTAGAGAAATTACTCAAAGTCCACCACAGCCATTAAAAGCCTTTAATGCATTGGTAAAAGAGTTTTTCTTCTCCTTCCTATAAAAAATAGGATGCATTGCTAAGATTTAAAACATGTGTGGATCAATATGTGATGAGCAGGTTACTCAGGTTCAAACAAATGTCAAAAATATTTTCTTTTTCTATTATGTTCTTTCTTTGCACTGCTTATTTATGTGACAGCCAAAACTCAGGCCAACATAACTGGCCTAGTAGTGCACTATTTGAAATACATTTTTTGGGGGCTGTTTCTTGATATTCTTCCACRTCTTAAATCCAGCAGTCTTGCCACCATAGCAATGATCTTGAAAGCATCTAAGTGKCCTAGAAGTCTTAAAACTCCTGACAGCCACTGGGACTTGCACATTTTTGACATATGTATTCTAAGTCTTATTGTTCCCATGTCAGGAGAAAAGAACAAAAATAGGCTAGTATGGTGAAAAATACAAAAAACATCTTTTCACAAACTGGCATGCCTTCAGTGCAYGCAKTATCTGGSAGGAYTCTGCATCTGATGCAGCAGTGACCRTTCCCTTTCAGWAYAGARCAGCTGAATTTTTGTGCCACAGGGAGTGTTCTAATGTAAAAACCTCCAAAGTGTTACTGATACTGGAATAAATTTTGTGCAGATGAACACTGAGCTTTTGGGGCAAACATTCTGAGGCCAAGAAAAAGAAATAATTGTTTTTATGGTGGACTTTTTTTTTTTTTWAATTAGCAAGAGTTTGGTGCAGTACACGGGTCTGGGGTGCTGGAGGTGACCAGGCAGAGATATCAGTAGCAGAGAGTTGGACACTCAGCTTTGGTGTGATGGTTGTGACTCCAGTCAAGGAGCAGCTTAAGAGGGCTCCATCACCGGTGTTGCAATGGGATAAGGGATAATGGGTTTAAACTAAGGGAGGATTGACTTGGATCAGATAAAAGAAGAAATTTTTTACACTGAGGGTGATAAAACCCTGGTATGATTTCTCCAGAGCAGCTGTGGCTGCCCCTGGATCCCTGGCAGTGTCCAAGGCCAGGCTGGACATTGGGGCTGGGAGCAGCCTGGGACAGTGGAAGGTGTCCCTGCCCATGGCAAGGAGTGGCACTGGATGACTTTTAAATGCCCCTTCCAACCCAATCCATTCAGTGATTCCATCATTCAGATGTTGTCACAATTAATGTGTCTCTATCTAGGCTGAGAAAATCTGCAGAAAGAGTCACAGATGGACAGTSCTGTAGTCAGTTTTGATCTCTAACTTTGCCTCTGAAAACAATGGTGCAGAGAGGAGCCAAGAAGTTGYGTTTCAAGCTTTTCTGGCAAGGAACTAGATGTCCAGAAAAGACTGTGGCACTGTTTACATGAGATAGGGACAGCTGTTTGAACGAGCCCTTCTGATTGTTTCCAATCCTCTCCAGATCCTCTACGAAGTCACAGTTGTCACAGGAGACACTGAAAGTGGCGGTACTGATGCCAGCATTTTCATGACTGTCTTCGGATCCAATGGCACCACCGAGGAGATGCTGCTGGACAAAAATGGAGACAGGTACAGTAAATTTTGCAATTTTTGTGGCTTGGAAGTGGAGTGATGACAGATCCTAATGTCAAGTCAGGAAGCACTTGGGGCTCTGATCATGCTCCTGCTGAAACACAAACATTTGTTCCCATTGACTTTATAGATTCAGACCTGGGCCCTKGTAAGTGTTTCTGTCAGATATTTAGCAAGCAAAGCAAAGGAGAGAACTGTATAGCCAAGAAAACCACCCTTTGTCATTTGTACAAGTTTTATTTAAACTGCTCCTCAGTGGCTTTAGAGATAACAAAAATATGAAGTCCTGTATTGTTTTCAAGAACAACTGTGTACATTGCCCAGGAGAGCAGTGGGAAATGGATGGGTGGTGGCACAGAATGCTGTGCTGTACCCCTGATTTTGCTAAAAAGGTGAAATTTCCTGTTTCCTTCAGCAAAAGCAGCTAACAAACCCTAGTCTGGCTCCAGCGCTTCTGTAAGCCAAAAAACCYACACATGGCACCACTCATCCATTTCCCAGTGCTCTCCTGCTCCTTCCTAGCACCTTCCCTAGCACAGAAAGCTGTGGCATGCTCAAGAATGAACCATCTTTTAGCAACAGGCTTCACCACACTTAAATTTAATTAATTTACTACCTCTGATTGTATTCAGCAAAGCTCTGCAGAGCATCACAAGGGTGGGAGCTTTTGGCCCCACGGCTGKAGCTCAGCTTGCTGAGGGGAGGCTGAGTGACTGAAGATAAGGAGCACCTTGCACAGAGGTGTTTGCTCGGGGGATGTTGTACTCGAAGCTGTCATAGCAGAGTGGGTGTCTGGACAAGCACAGCTTAGATTGAGAGCTTCATGTGTTTGGTTAGTAACGAGCACGAGCCTTGTTTGTTGTGAAAAAAAAAAAAAAATGCAGCAGAGGTGCTGCTGACTGAAATGCCTGTGAGAAACGCAGCTGAGTCATGCAGAAATCCACAGCCCCCCATCACAAAGGAGCTTCTAACATGTGCAGCAAGACCCCTGGGCTACCAGAGAGTGTGGCCATCAGTGACATCCCCYTCACAAGACCCTGGGTGAGCCCAAACTGGGGTGTGCTCCACCGATTCAATGCTAGCACTCAGTTCTAGTAGGTGGGAAAATAAGCCACTGCTGTTTGTATTCAGAAATGAAGCAGATTTCACATCAGGGTATGCCAGCCAAAAATCTCTAAAGGGGATCAAGACATCTCCAGCCTCTCAGGAGCAGGGTTGCAGTCTTACTGCATCTGATGAGTCAAATCATACCCCCGTGGCCTCTAAAAAACCATCCCATTTTTCTACATGGGCGGGCTGGACAATCTCTGACACAAGACTATGAAAATGCAGTAAAGGAAAATTGAAAAGTCCCTGTGTTATTAGTTGTTTCAGTTGTCATCTGACAGCAGAAGATCTGTGAAAGGTGTTGAAAAATCATTGAGGCTGCGTAAAGGAGAAGGAAGTGCAAGGCAGAACTATTATTATGTTAACATCCCCGGGATGCTGTGCTGCTCCACTGACACATCTCTGCTGGCTGGAGATGCTCTGTGTCACACCTCCGGCTGCACAGAGCCCTTGTCATCTCATCAGCACCCTCTGCAGAGGACATTCGTGTCCCCACGTTCACATCCTGTCCGTTTCCACACCGCTGCCACCAGCCTTCACCCAGCTGTTGACAGCACAGCCTTCCCTGGCTCYTTGCCACACCGAGATCCTTCCACCYTTCAGGGATGGGTGAGAGCTGCYGCAACCAAATGGTGAAAGGCACTTCATCTTTATTGGGGCCATCCAGTGCCAATTCACTCTCAGCAGCTCAGTGCATTACCAAGAGCCGTCTGTCTAACCTGCCACAGATTTAAGGCAATTTTCGCTACATTACTGTTATTGCCAAGACCCCTGGGCAAGGGAAATATTTATAAGGGCAGGCACGGGTAGGAAAGCTTAATGAAATCCCTTAGATAAATGCTTCAGTGTCCTGAGAAGGGAGTAAGAGCGGTCAGCTTGTCTGGCTACTTCTTCCCTCCACCATTTGTTTTCAGGTTTATATTCATTTTCATATAAATTAGGGATAGCAAAGAGCTTTTGGGTCACCCAGTTTGTCATTTTGGCAATCGCTTCCCTCTAGTACTTCCCTCTTGGAAGTAGCAGGTGAGTATCAGCATTACAAACTTCAAACAAGGCATTCACTGAAGATAAATAATGTTTTATTTTGCTAGCAGACATTTTAGTTTAGAGTTGCTCAGCCTGGAAAKCCTCAGAGTGAGAGATTTCTATGAAGCTTTGCAGGTAACAGCGATTGTAATAAAAGCTGATCATAAGATCACAGGATAATTCATACTGGAAGGGTCACACCTTTTCCTTAAATAGATGTGGAAATCAATCCAGTCCAGGGACAAAAGTACATTCTATTTCTCACAGTGAGACAGGCTGCCTCAGTATCTGTACCGCAAAAAGACGAATAAGAAGAAAAAGGAGTTTTTCAAAGAGCAAACACAACCCTTAATAACTAGAAATGGACTGGGACCAAAATGSCCTGTCCAAATGCCTCTGGGAGTGCAGAGAAAGCAATGCCTGGATGAAAACTGAGAGGCTTGAGCCAACCCCTATTGCTAACATCTGCAGCTATGCATGCTCAGATAATGGCATGAGTGTAATCACATTCATCCTGCGGGGGGTAWTCTGAACAGAGGTTGGTAAAGAAAATGTTGGTGTTTTTTCTCCACATTCTGGCACTGCACAGCTGTGGGAGGCTGCATGCCTTGCCAGGAATGAGATATCATCATTATGGAGTGTTTTCATTGTGGCAATGCACGAAGCTTGCAGGGCTCTTCCCAAACCCTTCAGTGCAGTCAGGTGATTCCCCCAAAAGGAGGAGTTTGCATGAAGGAGGAATCTCAACAGCAGAGGGGTCACCGTGAGCTTGGTAGACCCCCTGGATCTGRCTGCCATTCTCCTTAGCAAGGTTTGGATTTCCAGCTCCAAGACTGGAGTAGGTCTCCACAGTGTTTGGGAAGCAAACTGGAAGACATCCTTGCTCTGAGCAGAGTAACGTGGAGCCTGAGGCAGCACTTTCACCAAAGAAAGGCTTTCCTCCTGGCACCAGCTATGGCAAGGGGGAGGGAAGGTGCAGTYCTAGCCAATGTAATCTTCTTTGGGAAGCACATGTTAGCTGATTTTTCCCTTCTCCTGCTTCCTGCTGATTGCTCTGGATGAGTGGTTCTTGCACATCCCTCAGCCACACAGGGAACATCTTTCACACAGGTTACACAAACCCTCCCTGGCTCTTACCAGAGGCACAGAGAGCTTGTAAATCCAAATCCCACAAATTAATGAGGCTGGTTTTGTCTCCATTCGAACACAATTTGCCTGTGCTTACCAAACTCAGGCTCTGGGCTCTGACCTGCAATCCTGATGCCGCGTTTCACTGAGCTGCAGCAACAAATGCCCCTCTCCACAGMAAAAGTTTTGTGCTGCACCTCAGGGAAAGGCGATGAGGCAAAATTATTTTGCCTTCTAGCTGGAACAAGCCAAGGGCAAGCAAGTGGGCAGCTGCCAGGAGGGAGGCGATGTGCCGAAGCCTGACTGTGAGTCGCTATTGTTCTGGTTACAAACAGAGGTAATATATTCTACGGGCTGCCTGGAGCAGCTCCAGGTGGGCTGTGATTTCCAGGGAAGGAGGAATCCCTGTCAAATCTGCACTGAGGTGTCTTGCCAAGAGCACAGTAGCTGGTGCTTGCAGCGCAGGAAARCTCAAGTCCAATTAAAAGCGCTCGTAAACTTTTAATTAGGGGCTGTAGGCATGGCGAGGGCTGTGGCACGGGACGGAGACGCAGAGATGCTGCAGAGCAGCGGGAAACCTCCCTGTTCTTGCAATCCCTGCAGGTTTGAGAGGGGCCAGGAGGACAGTTTCATCATGGAGATTGCCGACATCGCACCCCTGAGGAAGATGAGGATCCGCACGGAYGGGAAGGGGACGCGCCCGGACTGGTTCATGGAAAGGGTAACGCACCGGGCACCAGACACCTCTCAGCCCCTGGCAGAGAGGACAAACACACACAGGGGCTTGGTTTTTTTCCATTTCCTACATTTTCTCTATTTGGTTTCTCATGGTTTTTCCCTGCAGGAATTGAGTCAAGAAAGCAGAGAGCAAGGGCAAAAGCTGTGCTGTAAAGCGTTCTTTATGGTGGAATCACCACGTCTGGAAGTGTTCAAAAGGCTTCTGGATGTGGGACCCTTGTGGGACACGGTTTAGTAGTGATCACTGTGGTGCTGGGTTAGTGGGTGGATTCAATGATCTTGGACATCTTTTCCAGCTAAAGGATTCTGTGATTTCACCACAGATTCTGCTGTTACATCTCACTGTCCTTCCCTGCACAAGCCCTGGTGCTCACAGTATTTTCTGGTCCCTGGGATGTGCCCTCGGCCCCTGCAGATTCTGCCACGTGGGAATCTGAATCCAAGGGAAGGTGGAGATTTGTCTGCCAGACAGAGACATTCTGCGCTGGGTGGGACCAAATAATTATTTCCAAATAATCCATCCAGTCAGCTGCATCATCCCATTTCTCCCCTTTCTTTCTCCTCTAGCACACAGGCAGATTTCTTTCTTTCCTTGTTCGTACAAGTAAGGTGTCATTTTTATCTTGCATTTTGAGTGGAACATGCAAATTGATGTCCTGCCTTTCACACAAGTACAGTGCTTGCCTTTATCTTGGCTGACAAACCACTAGCTCCTAGTGAGAATCACCTCTATTTGGGCAGTCAAAAATAGTTTGCTTGTTGTGGGTCCTTATAATTATAATTCTAAGACAGAGGAGGAACGATGTGCTGGTTCCAGACCATCAGATGCCATTGATGGAGAAACACATCTCTGCRTTCTCCTTTGCCATGCCTTTTCTGGAGTAGATATTCTGCTGGATTTCTGCACCTTGACCTTGTTATGAGAACAGTTTAAGACCCAGTAGCTTAGCCATGGTCAGAAGGAATGCTGCATTATATTTTTATTGASACCTTTTTCCTTTCTGACTAGTTTACAGCAGTTTCTTCCTTTTCCCATTGATAACATGTTTCTATACACTGACCCTATATAGACACAAGTTTTCAAGGAAGTCATGAACTTCCCTTTCAGAAGCATTTCTGTGCTGCAGTACCACTTTCACTTAAGCATTTCCACTTCTAAATTTTTTTTCAGCAGCTGGGGCTGGAGAGGAACTGAAAKGGGGGAAATTTAGGCTGGATATTAGGATTAAAGTCTTTACTGTGAAGGTGGTGAAATGATGGAATAGGGTGCCCAAGGAGATTGTGGATGCCTGGAAGTGTTCAAGGCCAGGTTGGATGGGGCCTGGAGCAACCTGGGATTGTGGAAGGTGTCCCTACCCATGGGAGGGGTTGGAATGGGATGAGCTTGAAGGTCCCTTCCAATCCTTTACATTCCATGTTTCTATGGAGATGTTTGATCAGCTTTTCAAAGCGTTAGACCTCCAGCACTTGTCTTTGGAATAGATGCCACAGAGGTGCAGCTTTCCTCTCCGTGCCTAAGGAATAACTCAATCTGTTCTCCRATTTGATTCAGATGTCTTGGTCAARCTCCCTYTGTAATTCCTCACATGCTTYCCCCTGAGTTTTATAAATCACATTCTTATAAAATGAAATCAAATGAAGCCTATTCACCCAGAGGCATTCCAGGTCTTGCAACCATGAATCAGCAGCAGCACAAAGCCAAGGAATGGTGGCACCTTTAGCTGTGCCTTCCCACCCTCTTGTTGGCTGCTCTGTCCAGGCATTCCAAAACCTCAGCCTGCTGGGCTGTCCTACCAAAAGCAAAGCTTTCCCTGGGAGGTGGGCAAAAAGGACTCTCATTTGGACCTATCCAGTGGGATTAAARCYACCTTYCAGCTCTACAGGAGCCACAGRTGGATGATGCACACAAGAAYAGGTCTTGARAACAGRCTGAAATGAGGGCTTGTAAAAGCMAGGGWGAGCAGCTTTTTACAYRGGCAGATATTGACAGARCAAGAAGTAACCACTTTAAACTAAAAGAARAGAGATTCAGATTAAATATCAGAAAGAAACTCTTGGCTTTGGGTGGTGAGGGTGGGGAGGCCCTGGCACAGGATGCCCAGAGCAGCTGTGGCTGCCCCTGGATCCCTGGCAGTGTCCAAGGCCAGGCTGGATATTGGGGCTGGGAGCAGCCTGGGACAGTGGGAGGTGTCCCTGCCCATGCCAGGGGTGGAACTGGAAGGTCCTTCAGGTTGYTTCCAACCCCAACCATTATTTTATAATTCTCCTATTTCAGAAGCTTATGAAAATTATGTCCATGGTTTCTCTTTTTCTTAGAGAGGCCGAGCGCAGAGCAGTTTCTAACTCCAGTGTTACATAGAGAACTGTGTTTATTGGTTTTCTTTCCCACCTTCCCTGCAAAGGTAAACACAGCATTTGCGTTCCCAGGCAGAGGGTGGCTGCAGAAGCCTTCTGGAAGAGGGGAGGAAGGATTTGTGTTCTCTGATTTGTATTCCAGCCTCAAAAACTTACGTAGCCTGGTGTGACATGAAAACTGATCGGAGCCCATTTCCATTTCTGTCAAAAGTGCATATTAAAACTGCATAATGAAATACTTGTGGGGGTAGTGCTAAACTCTCAGACAGATGGTTCACAGTTAGTGCTAACTAGCACAGTGAAATGAGAAGCTAGATTAAGCCATCAACCCCGTAATTAACCATTTGTTGCTCCATTTATCTACATGATATTCTCAGTTTTCTTGTTCTATTAAACTAACAATAAATGATCTCTTTAATTCTCTTCRGTCTTTTGGTAAACTGTTGCTAGCCATAATTTATACTGCTTTTAGCTTACCAGATATAGAAATGCATAAATACCAATTAAAATGCATGAATTATCAATGATTYTGTACACAGCCAAAAGATTCAATTTACAAGCAGGCAAGTAGTCATATATTTTTTCTGTCTGCATAAAATACACTAAAATTTCATTCAGAATCTCAGGGAGATAATGAACTTGCTGCAGATAATTCAAACTGYGCCACAAGCAGCAACAAGTTTTAAATCCTGACACCTTAACCTCTAGCAGGAGCAAAATTTGATTAGTGATATTCTGCAACAAAATGAACATTATTGATCATTACTATGCCCAAAAAGGCATCGTGAATGTTCTCCAAAGCTGAGCAATGCCTTCTAATCACTCTGCTGGTAGGAGGGACACAAGAGTGTGGATCTTTTCCTCTGACCTAATGCTGAATCTCATGTTCTTCCTCATTAAATTACCATGGCACTGCTGTGTGTTTCTGAAAAACCAGGGAACAGACTCA